GTCTGTCTGCCCTTTACAGAGACCTTAATGGTTATCAGTTGACTCTTTTTCTCAATGGCAGCATAGATCGTCCCACCCCACCCCTGCACGTTCATTGCCCCCCTCATTGCTCTGCTCTGGGCTCAGTCTCTACTTCAGTCCAGTAGAGCTGCTTTCCATATCCCCACACGTTCTTCCCTCCGGCCTGTGGTTGTTGGCCCATCTGGAATGTTCTTCTTTGCTTTCTCTGCTGTTCTTTGCTATTCCCTTCCTTCATGCCCTGCTATGTCTGATTCATCCATGCAGCTTTTCCAGTTTGATCCCACCGAAGGTTGAGGGCATATATGAATTTTGGGTCAACGTAGGTCCTATCCATGATTTTGTATGTGTGTTATATGTTGGATTAAAATGAATTGTCTGATGTGGGAATGTTTTTAGCTTCTGGCCAACAGATGACAGAGAAAGAAAACAAAGGAAATTTGCTGCAGTGCATAATTTTGACAATCCTACCATTCCTGCTTGCTCAGGAGGTGGACCCTCAGCACCAATGTGTATAGGATGGTAGTCTCCAAATTGGGGTGTTTGCATCCCAGAGTGTGTGCAAAGTGACCCACTGTCTGAGAGAAGAAAAGTGTGGCATCTTCAATTTCCATTTATTTTTATCTTATCCTTCTAATTTCTATTTTTATGTATGTTTTATGATGTACATAACATATTAGTAAAGTAGTACGTGTGTATACTTAAGTAAAAATTTACATGGTGAGATGCATGTTCATAATTTTAATTTTGTACTTTTTACTGATGGAGTTCACTGTAAAGAAAGTAAAGATTGAGAAAAACACTAGACGCGGTTGAGAGGGATCCATACGTCTGAGCTAGTCAGAATGAAAGTAATAAATAGCAGAGCAGAATAGAGTTTACAAGGAATTTTCAAATAAATAACTGCATTGTCTAACGTTCTTGGGAAGCAAAGGCCCCGATACATTATGTCATAATGCTCGCTGGAGGCTGAAGTCTTGGCAAGAGGAGAGAGAAAGAGGGGCAGAGATGAACTAACAGGGTGAGGAGTTCTCATTTGGAAAAAGCTGAATAACACTGTAAAAGAGATTTCCAAATTGCAGGAGAGGAATGCAGGGGGTTTCCAGAAAGTAGAGAGAGGGTGAAGCTGGGTAGAGGAAACTGTGGGAAGCTGTTTCATAAAGAGTTCCCCTC